GAAAAGACACGCCAGAACTGAGACGGAAGGGTGAGTTTCAGCTCCTCCTGTTTTGGGAGGTTACAAAGGGGCGGGCCTGGCTGGGGGCACCTATTGCTAGTCTGTCAGTCAAAACGGCAGTCTTTGTTCCTCTGGTTCTACACTACCACTTCAGCGACTAGACCCATTTTTCCAAAAGACTCTAACAACCTGAGGGCAGTGGCTGGCTCTTACTATTTCTAGCATCCCCTGAATTGGGCACTTAATAATTGCCAGATAGATGAATGAAACACTGAATGCAGAAAATGCAAATCCAAGATATTATTCATGCTCCTACCAGTGTGATGTTTCTAAAATACAGTCATGTCATTCTCCTGCTTAAAGACTGTCAATGGCTCTGCACCGCTTACAATAAAGGCCAAACTCCTCAGTGCGGAAGATGAGACCTGTCACAATATTGCCCAGTCTGTCTTCCCATCAGGTTGTCCCCATACGCTTCATGGTCTAGATACATCAGACTGCTTACTATTTTCTGAAGCTATCACAATCTTTTTACAACCCTATCTGTACCTTTGCATATGCTGTTCTCTTTTCCTGAGTCCCCAAGTTCAAGGCAAAACATGGTGCAAGGTCACCCAGGACATGCTACCATCATCTCTGGCCACTTGAAGCAGCTAGGTGACACAACAGGCCGAACAAATGTTCTTCTTGCAAACTGGGAAGGGAGATTTTAATATTAAATTACTGTCTCTTAAGTGCTAGGAACAGAAATGAGGCTCACGGGAAAACAATAGAACTTTCCTTTGTGCAAGCTGGGTGTCCACGCAGAGCAGGTACCCAGCAAGAATTACAGTTTTTATTCCTGTAAAAATCATACCATACATTTTTCTTCCCCAAGAATGCTTGTTGACATATTCTGTCAAGGAAGACATAACTCCTAAATGAGCCTTAATTATGTATATTTCATGGTTTTCCCCCTAAACATCCCTGGGAAGGCCAAGAGAAGATTATTTCCCACCGAAGAGTGGGAAATCAGATGCTACCAAGCAGGAAATGGGGGTATTTTTCCCTGGAGGGACACGACACAGCAGGAATATGTGATGTCTTCTTAGCGGTCCTGAGTCCCCGACATCCTGAACCGTACCTTGGGGTTCCCTCCGCCCTCTTTGGCTGCATATAACATCTGCAGGGCAGATTCTGCGAGCGTCTTGGTCTGGTCCAGCACCGTCATCTGCTGCTGATGGTCAAGTATCTTGGAGGCGACGCCAACCGCGGCTAAGATCAAGGGCTCAAAATAGCTCGCCAGCTGTGTCACCTTTCAACAAAGGAAAGCCACAGATGCATCAGGTAAGTACATGTGTCTCCTTCTGGGCACCACTGGAGGGGAGAAGGGTGGGAGCAGGGATAGGATGACTCACAGGGAGAGGCAGATCTGCTAGAGTTTGCTTTTGAAAGTATTTGCTAGTTAATGGCTCTTGCTTGGTTTTTACTTCCCAGTGGGGTTCCTCAGCTCTTCTCTAAATATGGCAGAAGGGCTAAGAAACCCATTCTGAGATCCAAAGTTAGATATGAGATTTTTTACAAATTGCAATTTTACAAATAAAAATGTTTTTAAAGAACCAAAGACATCATATATACTCAGAAAGACAGGGATGTAGAAGAGGGACAGGGTAGCCAGGGGAGTTGAGAAAAGAAGCCTGAGATGAAAGGAACCTTCAAAGGCTTTTTAGGAAGCCAATCCAATTGTCTCCTACCCCAAAGCATTTTGACCAAGCCTTGGATGTGGAACAAAAGCAAACGATTTCACATCAGCCTAGATGTTCTGTTTATGACTGGCCCAATGTGGGAAAATAAAAGTGCTTATCAAGACAGCTAACCCTGGGCCGAGCCCGTGGCGCACTCAGGAGGGTGCGGCGCTGGGAGCGCGGCAGCGCTCCTGCCGCGGGTTCGGATCCTATATAGGGATGACCGGTGCGCTCACAGCGCTCACTGGCTGAGCGTGGTGCAGCTGGTCTCAAAAAAAGACAAAAAAAAAAAAAAAAAGACAGCTAACCCTCGCCCCGGCACAGACCCATTTTCAGAAGGCCAAAGCCACACACACAGGTCACAAATAATTATTGGGTGTACACCATGTCAGGCTCTCTGCTAAATGTTCAACGTGTATTTCCTCACTTAATCACCACAGCAATTTTAAGAGGTCGATACAAATGAGGTGACCAAGGCTTAGAAGGGTGGAAGTGCGTGCTCGTGTCATGCAGCTGACAGCTGCGGAGGAACAGGACCTGGCATCTGATGCCACAGCCCCAGCTCTCAGCGGTCACAGCCCCGGCTCTCAGCGGTCACAGCCCCGGCTCTCAGTGGCCCCAGCCTACTGTATGTGCTGCTTTTCGATTCTATTCCAGTGCTGCTACTGCTGTAACACTGAGGACTTTAGAAGTTTATTGTTTGGTATTTGTTTGTTGCAGAGTACTTAAAACAAACTCTGAGAATAACACAGCAAAACCCTCTACCTAGCAACCAGAATATCAGATTTTAACATTTTGCTATATTCGTGTCTGATACTATAATCTATTCTACTCAGATAAAACAATGGCATGGGGGCCGGCCCGGTGGCGCACTGCGCTAGTGCGCCGCTTGGGAAGCGTGGCGGCGCTCC